ACGACCCTAATAACGGTTGNAAAAAAAAAAACATATTTTACAGTGCAAGAATTTCTTTTGGAGCAGCTAGCAAGAAATGAAAATAAACTGAATGCAGAACCTCCCATGCAATGTTGTTCTGTATAGTGTTCAGTCCAATGCTTCAGTTTAAGAATATTCCTGAACTGCAACACAGCAATCTGCATCATTGGTTGATTTAAGTTATTGGCCATCTGTACTAGCTTAGAAAAGCTATGAGGCAAGAAACTAAAATTGTTTTGTGATTCTTTCTATTTTGCAAGAGGCGCGCCTCTCGCGAAGTTGATTTTCTTTTTGGGGGGCACTGTACCCAGTAAGTCAGAAAAATTATTTTAGGTGGGTGTGGCTGATGATTTCGCTTCAAAGTCCAGGAAAGTGCCTGGAAAATTGGTAAAAGTGCTTAGCATTTTTATACGTTCGCCAAGAATAAGAACTAAAAATGTTTGTCTAGCTAGCTATAGCCGGATCTCTTATTTATCAGCCTATTTGAAAAAAGAACCAGTATAACCTGACAAAAAAGTTTCTGAACTAATTAACTTGCTATTTCTGAACACAATCTCAATAACATCTGGTTTATAAATGATAATAACTACATAACAAGATAGGGAGGCACAATGCATTTCCCTAGTCCAGGTTAGGGTGATGGCCTTCAGCTTCGGATCAAGTTGTTTGGATTCGAATCGCCCTGTCACTGGGATGGAAGGAAATTTTCTTTGGAAAAGTACCTTTCACAGTTTTTCTCTGTACTCACGGATGGAATTGGAAATATCTAGGTACCGGCGGACTGCAGGTAACCCTGCCAACGAACTATAGAACCCGAAACTCGAGTGTATCAAGTTTTAATAATCAAATGCTTGTTACAGTTATATACAACTGAATCACACGATCACGCATGTTTTAACTGAAAACATTAGCTTTTTACTAAATAGTCCTTTTGAATTTGGAATTTCAGTACAACAACCAATTACATTAATTATGTGACACAGATTGAGGGTAGAGCCAGGGCGGGTACGAAGAATCTTTTCTAATTAAACTAAGAAAATAAAGGCAAAGGCAAGAAGTAAGACTCACCTAAGCAAAATATGCTGAAAAAAACCTGCAGGAGTGGAAAGGAACTGCTGTTTGAAAACAACAACGCACCGAAATCTGAGAGAAATAATTTCGCTTGCACGAATACTCAACGGTTAAGCGAAAACACTTTTTCCAAAAATCGCAAGCAAAGGATTGTGCTATAATATTCAGAAGAAAACGAGTCTTGGTTCAAAATAGCAGAGTACCGAGATAAGCCGGTTTGAAACGACAGGGTAGCGATCGATGATTGTGTTGAGAAAACACAAAATTTAAACGTGAGAGTTCTCAACAGCTGCTTCAAGTTTATTTCTATTTTTATACCTCTATGAAACAGAGATCTAGAAAAAGGTGTTTCTATTCTCTTCACTTGAACAATGAATTTATTGATAACTGTTTTCTTTTGTCTATCAGGTAGTTTGAAACTGCAATCTTTTCACTAGAGTTCCCAATTACACTTACTCTTTACGGCCTTTGATTATCAACACGCCCTATTTTTCACCAAATTAGGGCGCGAGCAGATTAAGGGTTTCCAGAAATAAAGTGTCCAGTATCAATGTGTCCAGTGACAAAATTCGCGTGGCACACGCGCGCATTGTACGGTTTCTCCCTATTTTGTTTGTGACTGAATTCTTCTTCATAATCCTAACACCTTTCAGATCTCAATGAATTTTGTCATTCTGATGATAAACCGAAAATATAGGCTTCATTTTGTCCAGTCTCCTTCCCTGAGACGACCCTAATAACGGTTGCGAAGGAGACTTCGTTTTGTCTAACAACGCCAGATGGGGTACTAACAACGCCAGACGCCGTGACGAAATGTGCCTAATTTTTCATCTAGGCACCCTTAGGCTAGGCTCGATTTCCTGCCGTTTTGGGAGTCCAGTTGTTTATCCTCCTCCCAACTAACCGCATAGACTAAACGTGGATTTTATTTTTTAAACAGCTTGACGCGCCCGCGCTTTTACCGTTAGAGTGGCGCGTACAACTGTTTATTTATTCAATGGCGTGTCCCATTCAAAACTAAACTTAGCACTGAGGATGGGCCAGGCCCGAAACATCTGCTATAAAAGAACACGTTTTTAATTTGGCACTGCGTTATTAGTATTTCAACTTTTGTTATGTTTTGTCTATCTATTCTCGATAACAGGACTTCGTGTTTTCCAATTCTGTCTATAATTATACTCGTGCTTAAAGAAATCGGTCTCCCGCTTAGAGATCGTCCGATTTTAGGGAAAAAAAAAAAAAAAAAAAAACCAGACCGAATTGGAATCCACTCAGCTCTACTACCATTACTTATATATACCTAGTTCCGCGAGTCGAGAGGACGGAACTAGATGAACCGAATCTTGCGCTGTAATTGGCCACTCGAGCAGGGAACATGGGGCTTCATTACACACAAAGCCAGATCAGACTGTGCATTCTAGTCCGTGATTGTAGGATTTTTTCCTCAAAATGTTCATTCGTGCAATAAATCTCATATCCATCCGGCTTACTCGGGACCATACTCGCTAATATCGGTCTTGTATGCCATTTCTATACCGACTCGCTGCACTCGGTCCGAGCTGTCAAGGCTGAAGGCCACCTGCTCACGTTAATTTGGATCGCCGGTCGGCGAACAAAAGACAACAAAACGGGCCGCGCCGCGGTGGGTAGGGTGTAGGAAAGCGAAGCCTCACTCACGGTCAGATCGCCCACCGCCAAGTAAGCAATTTATATAAATTAAAATGTGACAAAAATTCCAGTGGAGCTGATTTGGCCGAGCATGTAATATATCAAAATCCTTACAATGATAGTAGGCTGATTTAGCATGAGAACGGGAACGTCACTTGACGACGGCGCGCGCAGTACAAATACCCAAATATGGTCAGATGACGACTGCNGTAAGCAATTTATATAAATTAAAATGTGACAAAAATTCCAGTGGAGCTATTTTGGCCGAGCATGTAATATATCAAAATCCTTACAATGATAGTAGCCTGATTTAACATGAGAACGGGAACGTCACTTGACGACGGCGCGCGCAGTACAAATACCTAAATATGGTCAGATGACGACTGCAGGGCGCGCGGAATAACCTGGATTCTGTTCCAATTTGATCATATTTGGGTATTTGTACTGCGCGCGTCGTCGTCAAGTGACGTTCCCGTTCTCTTGCTAAATCAGCCTAGTAAATCGAATAAAAATTCTTAATTATTTTTAACTAAACAAACTGATTTTACTTGAGTTATTTACTAGAATTGAATTGGGATCAAGTATATGTTCGTTCTATTGCCTTTTAAACACAATTTATATTTAGATTAGTCTTTTTTTGTTGTCAAGAGTGTTCCACAGGAATACTGCTCGATGGCAAGTGAACGTCCGGGTAAAATAAGACTGAAATGACACCGTCACCGTTCACTTAGTTTCTGGTCCGCTGACCGAAAATGCGCGGGCACCGGAGACAAGTTTGAGTTTGACCGCTTCTGAAATTTTCACTAAAAAAAGACGGAATAGAAAGTAACGAGAAAAGGAAAAAGACTCCCCCTACCGGTTAAGATTAATTCTTTTAATTAGAAAAGTAAGCCATAAAACTACAAGAAAACCTTCAAGAATGTTTACGTTAGCGAGGGATAATTAGGAAAGTGCCCGGCCCAATATCTATAAAACTTAGAAAATATTGGGCTGTAAATGATTGATTGTTTTACGCTTTTTGTGCGTCGATAGACGTAGTCAGCTGGGAATAAGGTTGGATACTGGCCTCCTCATAATTCTTTCCGTGACTACGAACAAACAAAATCGGCGAATTTTGCATTATTCAGTTATCTTGGTCTATACGATCACAAGCTTGGGTAACACCCCGCGCATCTTTTACCATGCTTTCTTTTATTCAGGTTAATTTAATTCCTTATGTGCAGCTTATCACTGTGGCTATTTCGTGTACTTTCGTCGTAGGGCTTCAACACTCTTACGCTGTTGCTTATCCAGTTGCTTCGCTGTTTTTTCTTTTTTCTTTTTTATTTTATGCCTAGCTCCAAAATCAATATTAGCTTCAGTTATTCTGTTGCGGGGATTTTCAAAGTTACGTTTTGCTTGGCTGAAGTTAGTTTTAATTGCTGCGCAGAGTTGTTTTGTCGAAGGTTCAAAGTTGCTCGTCTCTCCGCATGCAATGTCAAGGTTGTTCAAGCTTCAAAGGTATTCTTGTTTCACCTATACCACCCCCCTATTCTTGCTGTACATCGTTTGCTTGGCTCCTAAATCCTGTTCAAATCGGGCCTACTTCATATATAGTTGAAGATGCCGGCTCCTATGTAAACTTATTTTATCAGGGTTGAGATCTAAACGATCATTACAAATGATATAATTAAAATAACTTATGCTTGCGTGACGGTTGCCATCGCATAGATGTCTAGAAAATAGTGCGGGAAGCATTTGTCGTTAGAATTTTCTGTTATTCTCTGACTGAGAATTCGATTCAGTTGTTCATGACCACTGGCTATATATGTGCCACATTAGGGAATAATTCAAACGAGCTGTACATTAAGGCTTTTCACGCTGAATACGGGAAAAGTGTAGGAGGAATTTTCCGACACCGGGAATTTTAACAAGCCCTAATTACAGGAAGCTTTAAGCTCACTGAACTGTGATAAACATTCTCCAGCTAAGATGAGACATTGTCGAGAAAACGAGAAAAGAGAGATTTGCTTTATTATGGCATTGTTATAGCTCGCCCAAGCAGCACATAAATGCGGTAAAGATTAAAAATTAAGACACGAGTTGTGGTTTCATAAAATTTAAATAAATTCAATAGCGCGATGGCGCAATGTTCAACAGAGACTTGCATCTGCTTTCAGTTTCCTTTTTTATGTAAAGAAAAACATTTCGTATCCAAGTTCAAAGACTGACCCCTCGCCGTGGAAAATGTTTTGTTAGTCTTAGCATTATGTTTGATTATGTGATGTTTTTGAAGAGTTTGAGAGTCATTTACTTCCGAGCTTTTCGATTGTACTTCAGAGACTGCCGGTTCATAGATATTCAAGAACTCCGACTTCCGTGTAGGCTGGCAGCGAGTGTGGGAGTTTTACTGCAGTGCGCATGCGTGTAAGGCCTTATTGCGCCAGGTGATTTTCCTTCGAGGTGTAAAATCCTTAGCTAAGTCTGAATTTTCTTCGAACAATTTTTAAATTCAAACAGCAACAACAATAGCCCATTTATTATCATTTTTTACCGTCCGTGAAGCTTACAACGAGCAATGGAAGACTGTAAGCGTATTTAAATGGTAAATGAGTCAAATTGTAAAATCGTTTTATCCGCTCTTTTGCGCCACTTGCGGGGTCAGGCAGCCCACGCTGACGACAAATATATCACAGACCGTATCATAGCGCATTGCCCGGGCGTTATGCTCGGTCAACACGGTCAACTTTTCTCAAAAGCGCACATAATGCTATAAGGTCCGATCTCTGTCACACAAATCAACAACAAGAAAAAAAAGGAAATTGCGGGTGAGTAAAAAGCTGGCATTTATATGTTAGATATGATATTGTCTTACTGACTACTGTCTTTTTAATTTATAATTTTCATCAACGCGGACTTTAGAAGAACCCCCGCGCGACACGCGACGGGTTTCTCGGTGTTGTCACGGAAACTGTTGTTCGTGGTAATTGTAGCGTGACAGCGTCACGCAAAAGTTTGTTCTTTGCTGTAATGAAGTGCCCGTATGCACTTCACTTTTGGCGTTTCACGCGGATAGAGTGTACTGCTTGGACATAAATACGGAATTAATGATGTGTATTGGAAATTGTTGACATGATGGTGAAACGACTTTGTCCAAGCTAAATGTTTAAGAAGCAAGCTAATTTAAGTATCCACGATGGAACAAAACGGTGAGGTTTTTCCACAGATTTGTTTTGAGTTGGCGGCACAGAAAACAGCCGTTTGTGTGAAACCGACAAGCAAGCGCGGTGTATGACTGCGGCGCTTCGTGAATTTTCCAAGTTTATGACTTTGGCGGTGTGAATTGGACAAAGTGACTGTTAACTTAGTATTTATTTTGAACTATTTCAGGCTATCCAAGGGCCAATTTTACGCCAACTACGAAGGCGCTTTGGCCAAACGGCACAGATCTAATGCAGACACGAGCACGACTGAATGGCCACGGTGGAAAATATGCGAAATCTGGAGCACCCAATAAACGGCAGAAAAAATCTGGCAATGCTGTTCGGCCGAAGAGAGCTCTTCTATGCCTTACACTCGGGAATCCGATCCGAAGTGCTGCTATAAATCTAGTGGAATGGAAATATCCTTTTAAATAGCAGTATTTAACCTTTTTTAAGAATATTTCTCGCGCGAATTTGCGGAGTTTGCGGTTCGTGGGTTTCGCTTGTTATGGTTATGGTGGTCTTGTAGTTAATATCCTTCAAATTTCTGTTAGCTAGTGTGAGGTATTAGTTGAATGTATTTGAAACGTTTGCCTTGACTCTTGACTCAAGCCTTTTGATGTTATGATTTTGATCACTATTTTCGCGAACTGTGCAGCTCTGGCAGCTTACGAGCCGCTTCCAGAAAAGGATAGCAGCGAAATAAATGACAACCTGGTTGGTATTTTAGATTACCTTGTTCGCACTGTGCGGGGTTATATTTTTTTTATGTGGATGAATATTCATGCTGTGAAATGTGGCTGCGGCTTTAACTTGCTGAAAATATCATCTGTTTTTAGAAGAGCTTTCCTCATGTGATCCCAGGAAAAAACACCGGTTCATAAAAGTGGAATTTTGACACAAGCGTAAACCAGCAAATCCCACACGCAAAAAAACACAACAAAAATATTGATACGAATTATAGCGGCGTATACACCTTACTTTGTTTTAGTTTTGAATGAATTTGTTATTGGCTCAACCAATAGGCAAAAGCTTAAATCTTTAGTAAAGTAAGACTTATTGCGCGGTTAGAATTTTGATGTTTGGGGCTTTTCATTTTGCTTCACTTCGGTAAACGATCTTTCCTATGATACTCATATGATCGCAGTTTTGTTAGGTGTCACTGATTGTCTGCTGTAAAGCTTGCATTTTGAGCGTGAGTTCCCTTTGTTTAGGTACAGAGAAATTGGATACAACTGCGGGCGTCGATCGTAAATAGTGTGTGCTTTTATGCTTTGGTGTTTTCGAAAAATCGAACGCCAAATTCTAGCTCGTGCTGTCATCCGCCGCTATCGCGAAAAAACAAGCGTTCACTCGCAATCGTCTGGTGTGCCACGAAAATAAAAATCCCACATTCATCAAGCTTAATTCATTCGATACAAAGGCATCAGTTGATCGGGTTTCTTGCCAATTAAAGTTTAATGCTAGTGAAAGCAATTCGCTCGAGTAATCCGCAGAAATGGTCGTTGTCAATTTCACAGTCATAAAGTTGTAAGAAACCGATGACTTCGAATGTAAACAAAAGCACCATGCTTGGATAACTTTCTAGCTTTATTATTTTATCGACTTGACCTGTTTTTTCGAGCGAATGGCGAAAAATTTCATCTTAGTAACGACACCGCATAAAGTTAGACAAGGTATTCTTTTATTGGCATGTTTATGGCTTCAGATCCATTAGAAGCAGATTATCTGAAAAGATATAGCTTTATGCGGGAGTTTTTCTCTTAGCGTAATAATTAATTCTCTCTGTGGATCAGAGGCCGTGTTGACAAATTCTCGTGTATTTCTTATGGCCTATGTCATGGACAAAAATGCCAAAACGAGTTATATAATCGCTGTTTATCTCTGAAGATATTAAATTAACTTTGGAAAAATCCTTATTGTCAAAGGCGAAACTACGTAACGAAGACAGACTTTGGTTATTTTATGATTCAACGGTGAATATCGTTGACTAAATATCTTAGCTGATATGTCACAGTGCTGATAAAAAAGCAGACAAGGACGTTTTTTTTGTGTGGCTAAGTTCAGTAGTATCGCAGACTGGATGTTTTGGGTACAGCAGGCAATTTGATCGCCATTTTGTCTAAAAATAAACACTGAGATTTAAAATAAGCGAGCACTTCGACAAGAAACAAACAATATCATTATTTAACTGGATAAAATTTGAGTCAGAAAAGACAGCTATTTTTAACTTGACCAACCGGTCTGGTTTCACAATTGGAATTTCAAAAGCCTTAATTGACGGACTTGCTAAAACATTTTCCCTCAAATGTGGAACCATTCAAAATCTCTCAAAAATTGGTTGTTATTAACAATAACAAATTAACGTAATTACTTCTTTGACCTTGGATGCTTAGGCTGGTACCAGACTTCCCATGTTTTCTGGATGTGTCTGCTATTGTACGATGACTTACGATATATGATGACTCGTGTACAAAAATGTTGAGAACATTGTCTTTTCTACAACAGTGAGATTGTGGTCAATTACTTGCAGGGGATGGGGAGGAGGATGNGGGTCCCAAATCACTAAACTTGTTGTGGGGGTAAAATAACCCAAATACCACGTTAATTCTGAAAAATTTGTCGTCACTACTGTTTGTAGCTCCAATGTATCTGTTAGACAGTCTAAAAATGGTACAACAACGTCCCTGAAATACAACTTTATCTACCATGTATTGTACTAGAATTGATCGTGGTCACTATGCTAATAAATGTTATTTGACCAATACCATAATAATTTGAAGTGAAGACCATCTCAAAATTTTGAAACACTCTCCCATCGTTTTGAAAATTAGGTGTGATTTTCCTGATGTTTTTTTTCGCAAAATGCTGACTTGTGGCCAATTCCAAAAGTTAGAGTTTTTGAGTCTTCCAATTCCTGTTAGTGATTTGTTCATTTGGTTTGTTCAATATCATTTAGTGACCACATTTGCAGATGCGACAGCCTCAAAATGATGGGATTCAATTCCCTGATAAAAAAAATTTTAAAAAAATGAAAAATTTTGTAACTTGCCAGATTGATTTTATATTTTGTACAATCTGCCGTTAATTGTAARGAAAAATYATCTGTCTAAAACAAGTAGGAGTCACCAACCATTTATGAGTAAACTACGGATAAAGTAATTAACATAACTGCTACCAGCCCTTCCCTTGTTCATATTTCAATGTATGAGCTTGCATGGCATTGCAACCTGAGTTAGAAATTATTGGTGCGAGCATCCTTAAATCTGGGAACACACTTTGATTATTGCTCAAGTAAGGCTTTGAGAAACAAGTTTTGTCAATTGATACATCTCAATTATTTTCTTTTGACAAATGAAATTAGCATATGAACACAATTTAATTGTGTTCATATGCTAATTATTGTATTGTAAGCAGCTATTTTGTTATGAAAATTCCAGGGAAAAATTATTGCATTTTCATGGGAAATTACTGGCAATAGTGAGAAAATACAAAATGTTTAAGGGATAAAGGAAACATGTAGTAATTTCCCTGGGAGGTCCTCCAAGCCCAGGGATTTCAAATTTCATTGGTAACACTTTTTCGGTTCCTTGTCTAGTCTGTCCAGAGATCATGGGAACAATCAATAATGGAAAATTTTTGCATCAAAATTTTATGCTTGATTTGGACTCAAGTAAAAGAAAATGAAAATTTTATTGAGAATAGAGAGGGAAATGAAAAAAGCAGAAGATGCATGTACTCATTGGCATGTATCTTGATTAGTTAGTTTATACATGATGCAAAATTCTCCATATCGGTCATGAAGTCAATTCAAAATCACCCCTCCCGAATGTTTGTTTTTTTTTAATTCTGCAGGGTGAACTTTCGTGCTTCTTCTTCACTATGGCTGCTATATGAACTGTTGCTGGAATGAAAACCAATAACTTATTCACCCTATATCAGCCGTTCATCTTCCATCTTAAATCCATCCCAGACTGCATTGCACATGCCATGCGATGCACTTAACAAATTGATGTCAGTTTTTTATGCATCTGTCCTCTTATTGATGATAAATTGCATCATAACATTGTCAAAATGGGGTTGCTCCCACTCTTTTGGGAAAAATTATATTGTATCAACCCTTGCTAATAGGGAATATTATTTATTTAAACTTTAACGCTGTTTACATATTAATAGGGAATATTATTTATTTAAACTTTAACGCTATTTACATGTTAAATTGACAGGCTTTATTTATTGGGTAATATAAATTGAGATCATACCATAACTGTTTGGAAATTGACAACAAACTGTAACTTTACAAGTGTCTTGAAATGCACCAAATGGCATCTAGAGAGCGTTCTGATTTTCAAAATTCTTCCATAGAGGGGTTCCAATACACCCCCAGCAGTGCTGACCTACAGTAGGCGCCCTCACTTCAGAATTGGTTGCCATGGGCCGGCCTGTGACTGGCACATTTCTAAAATTCATCAAGCCGGATTAATTATATGTAAAGCAAATTTGCATTTTATCACAAAATGCAAATTAAAATGAGCACAGTCTATTTGTCATTTGATGACGAGGTCAATTAGATGTTCAACTCTATGAATTTAATTTACTATTTACGAATCATTATTTCAGTGTAATGTACATGTATTGTTGACTTGCAGGAAGTAGCTGAATATGTCTTCCTGGCAATTTTTACATTGGAGGCTGTGCTGAAGATAATTGCTTATGGGTTTCTGTTTCACCCTGGAGCTTATCTTCGAAACGGATGGAATATTTTAGATTTTGTAATTGTAGTTGTAGGGTAAGTACTTAATTTTTTTATTTATTTATTTAGTTACTACTTCATACATACATGTAGTTGGTGGCTATGCAAGGTTTCAATATTATCCTTCACGAAATTTTCTAAATTCTGATCACCGATTAACACTATATAGTAAATAATTTTATCCTGATCAATTCTTTTTAGAAAGAGATTTTTTAGACACACAAAGTAGTTTTGTGACTTCAAATTTGTTGATGTTTTTTAACCCAGCCGTAACTGGCCCATGATCTTTGTTCCACTTAGATGATGTCATCACCTTTGACTGAAATTTGCATCACTTATACTCAAGTTCTGCAGTAGGAAAAGAGCTTTCCAATGATACCTAGATCAGAGTGATTGGGTCAATTGAGCTTGAAATATGCATGGAAATGCTTAGAAACAGATGCAGTGAAATGCAAATAATAGCAAAAGAAACAATGCTTAGCATTTTGTGTGAAAAACGCAGAGCAAAATTCCCCTCAACAACACTTGGCTACTTCCTGCTGAGAATTTCCTGTCTTGATGATGCTTTCTTGGGAATTCTTGAACTGGAAGGACCCCCAGTAGAAGGCCAATAACTGCAGCAAAAAGATAAGAAAAGAAGAAAAAGGAAAGGGAAAAAATTAATAATAAAAAATAAAGACACCTAAAAGCCTGTAAAGAGTCTCTGTAGGTCAGTGTTTAGAACACCCTTGAACTGGTATCTGGGCTCAGGTCATGGGTTTGATTCCCGTCAGGGACTCAGATTTTTTCTTTGTCGCATGCTCTTGGCAACATTTCATTGTTATAACTTTAGATAGTTCTGTGTTAACCCATAGACACCTGGAGCTTTTAGTGAAAGTTCACACTTTTTTAGACATTTTGGACATTTCCAGTGTGGATATGAGCTAAATTAGCTCCAATCTTATTCTACTCAACAAGGCATTTGCAACATGAAAACATGCTTTTCTTTCCACTTTCATCTTTAGGCTTTTCAGTGTCTTTTCACCAGGCTACAAAATTAGTAGCTTTCATTTTTCTAAAGTTACATCTAAACTAATTTATATTTCAGTATCTTCCTATAATTTGTTAACTTTGTAAATAAGATAATTAAATGTAATTTGTCAAAATTAATGAGTGAAAATACTGCTTCTAGATTGGATTAAAAAAAGGTTTATTAATTTAAAAATGTTATGATAATTTGTCAACATTTTGGATTATATGGCCAAATTGTTAATTTTTTTCATAAATTTTCCCTTTTCAGAATAGCAACAATTTTAGTAAAGGCATTTTTGAGCTCAGGAAGTTTTGATGTGAAAGCTTTGAGAGCATTCAGAGTTCTCAGACCCTTGAGACTGGTGTCTGGTGTTCCAAGTAAGTGTTCATGAAATGTTGCTTATTGTAGACAGCTCGGGTTGACACCAAGGGCTGTGTTCATGATTGTCACAAAGTTTTGAGAGAGGTGGCCTTATCGCCGGAGCAGGCAGCTGATTGCTACCTGCAGAGCAGATGTGGGGAGATTGAGCAAGCAAGCGGGTAAATGAGTGAAATTGCCTGCTTGAGTGAGCTAAAAAATGGCAAGAAGTGGGGAGGAGGTGAGCAAAAAGAGGAGCAGAAGGGGAGGGAATTGCACTTGCTCACAATTTTGTTCCTTTCACTTGCTTTTGAAAATGAACGCATGCTATGCAGGCTAGCTGATTGTCATGTTTTGTGAAAGAATCAGTTAAGAGGTAGCTGACAAAGATTATGAAGTAGACTTATATCAATACACTGCTGAGATGTTGTCAGCCTCGGCAGTTTTGGCCGTGTACTGGAGTCAATTGGTACACTGCCAAAACTGTCAAGGCTGACAACAACTCATGCCCACTACATACCCAAAACAATAACATTCTTTTAAACAAACATTAATTTCAGCACTTTTAGCCATCTTCCAAACATCCTTTTTTAATTTATGCAAATTACATGTACAGTGTACTCTCTATATTCAAATCTTTAATGTTTCATTTTATCACGGTGTTTTCCGTTGAAGACAGTAGAGACTGGCTGTCAAAAGCTCTTCTTTTTAATAATTTTTACCACAGAATGCTTTATTCATTGTCATTTGATTTCTGTTGATTTGAGAGACATTATGGGATACTCAGGGGGCAAATTACAGTGTAGTACATATTTGCCCCCTAAGAGTCCCATGATAGCTATTTGAAACAATGGAATTCAAAATGGCTGCTGTATTGGTAAAAAGTTATATTGCAAGCATGCTATGCAGGGGAAGAGGGGACGTTTATACTGCAGGAATAATGCATTGGGAGACAAGACTATGTTTGGGGACAAGGGACTGTTTTTAGGGAGGGGCTCATGCTGGGTAGAGGGGACTTTGTTTTGGGGGCAGGGACCTGTGAAATGGAACAGGGGCCACAGGGATGACTGTTCTTTGCATGTGTTAAGGATCTTTGCATGGAGAAAGGGAGCTCAATTATTAATAATAATGGTAGGGCATAGGGGACTACGGACAGGGGAGAGTCTTATGTATCAGGTTTATTGCTATGTGCTCGGTGTATCGGGGAGGCGGG